ATCCATCCATCCATCCACCCACCCACCCATCCATCCATCCATCCATCCATCCATCCATCCATCCATCCATCCATCCATCCATCCATCCATGTCTACACAGTTTTATTGAGGGGATCTATCCAATAAAACAATTCTAGTCAACCTGGGGGAACAACTGGGAAAAAGATACTAGGCTTTCTCCTGAGTACATGGCGCAAGGGAGTGTGTCCATGATCAGTAATTCCTCCCGGCCCAGCCAAAGTCCGTCACTCACTGGGCAGGTGCCCCAGAACACGCCTTGCTTGGGTGATTGAGAGAGACGTCTGGATTTGACCATGTGCCAGCTCAGAATGGGGCTTTTGGGGTGCCCCATGGATGGCCAAGGTTGAACAGCCTGTCTTTAACTGCAACAAGTGCACGGGAGTAAACTTGAATTCAAATCCTGACCTGTAGCGTGATTCTAATTTGGGGTCTCATTAACCACTGCTGAAGGAAAGGGACTGCGAGCCCTGTTGAAGAAGGGGGGAACTCTCCCCTCCAAAAGGCATGGTTGTGTCTCTGTACACACAGCTCTGTTCTGGGGTGAGCGGCCACAGGTACCAGTGGGTGGGACTGCGCCAGCAGCACTGTCTCCAAGCAGCAGGGGGTATGGCGAGACCATGCAGGATGCAGCTGCCCACCTGGGTATGGCACTCGGCCATAAGTGACGATTTCCATCAAGAGGATTCCAAATGACCACACATCTGCTTTGATGGTGAACACCCCATAATGGATAGCCTCCGGGGCCGTCCACTTGATGGGGAACTTGGCACCTATGGAAAAGCCAGGAGCAACCTTGTGAGGTGGTGACTGTGCTCTGTGGTCCCTGCCTTTCCCCCACCCCCACCTATCGGCCCCTGTAAGCCCTTCCATCCTGTCCCCACTGCCACAGCCTTGCAGGATTGCAGGACTTGGCAGAGATGAGTCCCGGGAGGTAGATCCCCGCAGCAAACAAACAGCCTTTGTTTCACTGGGGGCCTCCCAAATGGGTCTGAGCTCCAAAGACTGCTTTGCTCCTCAACCCCGACTGCTCTCCCAATGAGAGCTTCAGGGAAGACACTGTCATTCTAAAGCTTGGGCAGGAATGCCCAATATTCCCATGAGGGATTTCACGAGCATTTCTGCTTCCCTTTCTCGGGAGAACGGAGACAGCTCCTCACAAGACATTAGAAGTAGTTAAATAAATGTATCCATCGGTCAACTCACGTGAGCTGCATATTCATATGTGGATTCAGGAGAAGATTCAGCATGGCTTCAAGGAACTGCAGGGTGGCTGGCTAGCTCAAGAAAGCCAGGCAAAGCGGGAGGCCTTCAAGGGCTAAGTTACGCGGTCTACATGGGACATTGACATGGCTCTGTAAAAGTCAAGGTCCCAGAGCCTAGCACCCTCAGCAGGTGTCCCTCTGGCCAACAGGATGTTCATTTCCTCTTCAGAATGACCCGCGGAGCCAGGTGGGTCCTCTATATCATTTCCTTTAGGCAGGAAATGAATAACTGAGGCATAGACACAAACCCACCCCACTTCCACCAGGGGGATTTTGACTCATAGCAACCCCATGCCCCTGTGGGTTTCCAAGGCTGGAAACTACTGGCTTGTGGGTTTGAGCCATCGAACTTTCAGTTAGCAGTCAAGTGCTCAACCACTCTGCCACCCAGTCTCTGAACTGAGGCACAAGCGAGGTAAAATGACCTGCCCAAGTCATGAGTCACTTGTGACTAAACAAGGCCCCTACGAGGTGGGGGTGGACCCTTTGGCCCTCTCTGGAAACACACGTTGCCCAGCGAGGCACCCTTGCACTGTCTTTAAAGCACTCAGAGGGTGACCACCCAAAGCCAGCCCTGCTGTCCTCGAGTCCTTTCAGACCCATGGAGACCGCGTGCGTCAGAGTAGAACTGCAATGCCCAGGGTGGTGGTGGTAGGGGGGTGTTTGTTCACATGACCTTTTATGGTGGAAACCAGGGTTCACAAGTGTTGTCCAGTCATGTTTCTTAGCGTGTCTTCTAATGTCTTGTGAGGAGATGTCTCCGTTCTCTGAAGCTCTCATTGGGAGAGCAGCCGGGGTTGAGCAGCAAAACAGTCTTTGGAGCTCACATCCGTTTGGGAGGCCCCCCCATGAAACAAAGAGCAACAGGTTCTTTGCTGCGGGGCTCTCCATTCTCCCAGGTGCTATGTTCGAGAGAGCGGCGTGTGCATCAGGAAAGGCCCGTCGTGTGGATTCATGGCCAAATCATAGACACTGCACAGCACGCTTCACACGGGACTCTGTGAAGAACCACCCGCTAGGAACTTGTGGGGTTGGGTCGGTGGAGGTGAGGTTCAGGATGGTGCTGGTGTCGGGGCTTCTGCTCACCCTCTTGGGCGGTGTATTCACTGTCAATGATGCGGGCCAACCCAAAGTCCGCGATTTTGCAGCACAGGGTCTCAGACACCAGGATGTTGGCTGCCCTCAAGTCACGGTGGATCGAGTTTCTCTTCTCGATGTAGGCCATTCCTTCTGCAATCTGAGGAAGCAGGTCACAGAGTGCAGAACAGTGCAGTATCCTCCGTGCAAGGCGTGAACCTACCCACCATCCCTTGCTCAGTCTCTACAGGGTGAGAAAAATGGCACACCCTGCTCTGGTCCAGACCCACCAGCCTGTCTGTAGAACCAGCCTTCTCCCTCTTACAAGGCTGAAAGAGGAAGGCTTAGGAGTGTGTGTGTGTGTGTGTGTGTGTGTGTGTGTGTGTGTGTGGGGTGGGGGCGGCAAGAGAGGATGCGCTGCAGCTGAAGAAGAAGCACATTCTTTGGTGGAGTAGAAATAGGGCTTCAATCGTTCCTCAACTGAATGTACTGCCGTCCCCTAGAAGGCAGAATGGGAAGAACCCCTTCTCTCATCATGAGAGGTGCAGAGCCTCTCTTTGGTCCCTCCCCCGCCTCTCCTGGTCTTCCTCCTGCAGCTGCTTTTCCTTGTACGTGGGGGAGTGGATAGCACTGCGGGGCCTGAGAAAGGAGAGAGGAAGGTGTGTTGGGAAGAAGAAGGAAAGAGCGGTGGCAGGGCAAAGAGAAAGACAAGAGGGAATGTAGGAGCGCCATCTCCGTGGAGAACTGAATGCCTTCTCGGAGCCAGGATTTGAAGCTTTGGCCTCAAGCGCATTGCTTGACCTCCTGGAGGGGTCACTGTCCTGATGCCGAGCTGGAGAGGGACATGGTTCACACGATCTACGGAGTTGAGGGGAGAGTTGGATGAGATGGCATGTGGCACAGCACCTGCCCCAGTACCTGCCCCACAACAAGCTCTCAGTGGGCCTGGGAAGAGTCCGAATGAAGTCAAAGAAGAATGCCACCCCCACCCCCCTTGGACCACCAGCACTGGGTCGAGAAGTGTCATTTTGGTGGGGAACCTCATTAAGACAGTACCTACGGCCTTCCCAGCTGATGGGTGAAAGAATAGTGTGTCAATTTACTGCCACAGACCTGGGAGAAGCCTGCCCAGAGTTGATCCCGCTTCTCTTTATGCTCCCATTTTACCTTATTCGTCAATCAGTCATTGCCTTGTTATTTCATTTATCTCTTCTTTAGCTCATGCAGCCAATGGACAGTTATTCGTCCAGTGCTATGGGGAATATAAAGCTCTATCCTAAGTCTTTTGTGACTAGCCAATATCTAGTAGTACCTACTCTGCTAGCAGACATTTATTGACCACTGCTGGACATTCAAAAGGAAGAAACGAGCAGGGTCCAGATGTGCTTTCAAAGGGAAGAGAGTCGTGTGCACAAGGCTAGTGAGAACACATGTACTAAGTGCTCCTACCTGATGGAGAACAGAGGCAAGGTGTTCTGGACAGAGAGGGCAGTTTGAGGTAGAGGTTCAGGGGATGGCAATGCCCAGGGCATCAGGGAGCAGGGGGTGATGCGGCGGCACTGCAAAGTGGAGTGTGTGGATCAGTGGTTGGAAGAACCCCGTGGGACAGCCAGCGTGGCCTTGGAGAAGAGGTGCTGCAAGGCTTTGCATGCCCTGCTACGGAGTGGGGGCAGGGGAGCCCAGAAGGACTGTGTTTGGAAGGAAAGTCCACTCAGAGCGGCACTCTATGAGGAGACATGCAAAAAGTCATGGAAAAACTGGAATTGCAAGATAGTGGGATATTCCCACACACTTTTGGAAGCCCCCTCACTACTTAAAAACCTCTCCTTGAAAGCTGTATGGAGCCCGGCTGACCCCTGACACATGGGGGCATGGCTCTGGCACTGGCCACAAAGGGGCAGGAGGTGAAGTGCAATCAGAACGGCTCCCAAGCCACTGGCCGGGGAGGGTCTGCTTCTCTGGCTTCCTCACACCCAGTCGCTGGGGCACAGATAGGCCTGTCCGTGTCTTTGTCCTGGGTGACCCAGGAGTTCCCAGGGTTTGGTGGTGGGGATCGAAAAAGAGACCGGCAAGAACAGCAGAAGGAGAAGAAAACCAAGCAACCAAGCGAGGCAGGCTTGTCACCGCCACATGGCCTGAAACCGGTCACCAGGGTTAATTTTCGGAAACGGCCTCCCCAGCGTACTCAAACCTCCTGCCCGCCCCCCCACCAGTGGAAAACAAGGTGTGGTGGTGACACCAATTCCTGCACTGATGCTAATAACAGATAAAGCCTGCTGGGTGGGAGGAGGAGGAGGGGCTGGGGCAGGCTTCCTCTCCAGAGCCGGATGTGTGCGTGTGCTGATGCATCTCTCCGGCTGACCACAGACCAAAGCTGTTCCGCTGACACGCCCAGTTTTAGCAGACACATGCTCAGGGTCCCCAGGTGTGTTTTCTTGCCAGTTAGAGCCCTCAGCTACCATCCCTGGGGAGGGAGGACGGGCTCCTGTTATCCATTCTGAAATCCACTCTCTGGAAGGGTCTGCCCCTGAATGCGAGGAATACCATGAACAGAGAGGGTCTGATGCTTGCATGTTGTGGTGTTGGAAGGTTACTGTAGGGTCCAGCGAGGAGACGCTGCCTCTAGTACATGCTTGGTCATGTCTGCCCAGCAGCCAAGGGTCAAGTCCCATGCATGTAGCAGGACTTAGGGCTCTTGGGACAGACCAGTGTTTCCAGGAGCAGCACTTGCAGAAGGCATTTGTGGATATCACGTTAGAACAAGATGAGGTCATGACAAAACACACTTTCCTCTTATGTTAAATGGGGCCCTTTGCTACCTTTCTGTGGATGTCTCACAATATCCATTCTCCAGTGCCTTATTCATGCTTCTTTCTGCTATGGCTTCCCAGAATGAAGACTACATTTCCCAGGCTCCTGTGCAGCTAGGTGGTCAGTGGGATGTAAGAGCAAGTACAACGAGTAACTGCAGGGACGTGCCCCTCAAAGGAGCAAGGTAGGCTTTCTTTCCCTTTGTTTTTCTGCCAGCTGAAAAGAGGCTGTGCTAGTCAAGCATGAACAGTTATCTTGGGCAGTAGGATGGCATGTCAAGATATGTAGCAGGTTGAAGAAGCCTAGCTCCCTAGTGCCTTTGTGGGGGCAGAGTCCCCTATTTGCCTCAGACCGCCCACCTCTAGATGTTCATATACTTAAGAAATTCTTATTTTGGGTTATCTGTCCTTTGAAGTCAAACTGAATCAAACAGTTCTTCTAAATAACAGATTGTTTTGCCCAGCCACAGGACACAAAGAAACGGGCCCACGGGCCAAGCCAGGATGAAGCCATCCCTTTCCAACGCCCACCCCTTGGCGGTTCACAAACCTGGGCAGACATGTCAATCAGTCTTGGGAAGGACAATTTGCTGCCTTCGTCCATCTTCAAGAAATCCAGAAGGCACCCTAAGGAAAGAGATGTTGCAACTCTACTTCTGCATATTGACCCACTCATGCTGTGTCGGCCTCTCCAGCCAGGGGGATCCCTCCACAGCTACAGAGTGTCTTAGACTTTATGCAAACCCTGATCTCAATCCTCACAGTATCCCAGGAGGCAGCTAATCTGCGCCCAGCTGCCCAGAGGGAGTTAGGTCTCAGAATCTGAGGCTCCGAGCCAGGGGAGTGGCTCTTCTGGCTCTCAGCGAGGGCTGTCTCCTGACATGGCTTTCACAGGTTGGAATCTTCCTTGTCACCTCATATCCTTTGTTGATAGAGCTACTTCACTTAGGAAAATACCCAGGATGGAAAAAAAGAAGGGGAAAAAAGAGCCCTGACACGGGGTTTGGTACAAGTGACAAATGTAGTCCTTCTATGGTATCAAAGACCCTTAAAGGAAGTTCCCCTGAAGTCTTGCTAAGAAGTGATCAAGAGGGCCCAAGGAGGCTTCCTTTTGCGAAAAGGTAAAGGAAACATGCTAACATGGCTATGGCCATAAGGAGGGGGTGTGGAGTTAGGGCCACAAGAGAGGTGAACCCAACCAGACTCACAGTCCTCGAGTGTTTTCCAAGTCACAGTGACTCCACTGGACAGGGAAGAAGAGCCCTTGTGGGTTTCCAAGATGGTAACTCTTTATAGGAGTAGAAAGCCTCATCTTTGTCCCATGGGGCACCTGTGGTTTTGAACTGCTGACCTTGTGGTTAGCAGGCAACTCGTAAGCCACCATGCCAACAGGAGATCAAAGGCTGAGGACCCACCCCCCCAGTTAGGAGTTTATTCTCCTACCCCCCAATCTCCATCAAAGACCCAGGCCCAATTCCAGGTTCACTCCTCCCATGAACCCCTAGCCACACCGTGAACCTCAGAGACCATCTTGGCTCACCTCCTCTTCTCATACATGTTGTAAAATGCCCACACAGTTGTCAAGGGCCCCGGGGATGGTGAGCAGTAGAGCTGGGACTAAAGCCACGCCTCCACGTGTGCAGTCTGATTGCATTTGAAGTGCCCTGTCCTCTCCAGTGTACATGAAGCAGGGCTGGGCACAGAAGATGTGCACCTACAATGCTGGGCAAACTGTTCCTGAACTAAGAGGAGCACCCTCCAAGAAGTTACCCCTGTATTTCTCCCCTCACTCCGACACACAACCCTCATGGCTCAGCAGTCCCCTTGGAAAGCCCCTGACCAGCAGGTGGATCAGCCTCAGACATCAATCTCCCTCAAGCCTGGACCACCCCACCCCCTGCCCCCTAAGACTCCCCTCCCCACAACACCTCCCAACTTCAGTGAAGGAATGAAGCCCCAGGGAGTGCGCCACCTCTGGCCATGTACTCCGTGACGATGTAGATGGGGTCCTTGGTGACCACGGCGTACAGACGAACCAGCCTCTCATGCTGGAGGGTTTTCATCACGTTGGCCTCACCCAGGAAGGCTTCTGGAGACATACTTCCCTCCTTCAGTGTCTTGATGGCCACTTTCACATTGTTTTTGTAATAACCTGAACTCCAGGGAGGAAAGAGAATGTAAAAGCCAGTAAGAAGACAGAATGAGCCAATGGTACTGAAGGAGGAAGTCCATGTTGCCACTGAAAGTGACATCCAAACTGTGTCTCTAGGGATTGAGTGCATACCAACTGGGGAAACGACTGGACCCACAAGTGTGGTGGCAGCACCGGCAGTGCTCCCTAGACCATGCCAAGACATGTGGGAGCCGGCGCCTGGCCAACCAAGTGGGAGACCCCCTCCATACTTGTGGCCGCTCCAAAGAAAGGTGATCCTCCTGAATTTGGGCTTTGTAGAACAATATCATTCCTATTACACATGAGTGAAATTGTGCTGAGCCAATTCACATACGGGAAGAGCAGGGCATCAATAGGCAGCTGCCAGAAGTTCAAGGGAGATTCAGAAGAAACCTGGCAGGAGGAATGTCATTCCTGACATCAGATGGAGCTCAGCTGAAAGCAGAGGGTCCCAGGAAGATGTTTACTTGGGTTTTATTGACCATGCAAAGGCTTTGGATTGTGTGGATCACAACAGACGATGGATAACATTGTGCAGGATGGGAATTCCAGATCATAGACCCAGAGGCAGTCCTTCAAACTGACACTGTATGCTTTCCTTTGGGGGAAGGTGTGAGTTAGGGCTGCATGCTATTTCCATCCTTATTCAATCCGTATGCTGAGCACGCAATTGCAAAGCTGGACTCTATGAGGAAGAACGTGGCGACAGGGTTGGAGAGGGACTCATGAACCTGTGATCTGCAGGTGGAAACCCTGCCTGCTGAATGCGGGACGGCTTGAAGCACTTGCTGATGAAAATAAAAAAGTGCAGCCTTCAGTATGGATTAACACCCAATGTTAAGAAAACTGGACGGACAACCAAAAAGTGGGTGAAGGGAGACGTCGGACAGGGCAAGATTTGACAAAATAACAATTTATAAATTATCAAGGGCTCATGAGGGAGGGGGGAGTGGGGAGGGGGGGAGGGAGGGGAATATGAGGACCTAATGCCAGGGGTTTAAGTGGAGAGGAAATGTTTTGAGAATGATGAGGGCAATGAATGTACAAATGCGCTTTACACAATTGATGTGTGTATGGATTGTGATAAGAGTTGTATGAGCCCCTAATAAAATGATTAAAAAAAAGAAAAAAGAAAACCAAAATCCTTACAAGTGGACCAATAGGTAACATTATGATAAACAGGAAACAGACTGACGTCACAGTCTACGCTCATGAAAGCAGCAGCCCAGAAATCAAACGGCATCTTGCATCGGGCCAATCTGCTGCACAAGACCTCCGTAAAGAGTTCTTGGAGGACTAAGGTGCACGTAACCCTAGCCACACTATTTTCAATTGCCCCATATGCACGTGAAATTGGACAATGGGTACGGAAGACCAAAGAAGAGTGGACACATACGAATGAGGGTGTTGGTGAAGAAGATTGACAGTACCACGGACCGTCAGAAGAACAAATCTATCTTAGAGGATGTACTAGCCAGCTCCTTAGAAGCAAGGCTGGTCAGATTCGATCTCACGTACTTTGGACCTATTGTCAGGAGCGACCAAGGCAAAGGACCCGGTGCTTGGTAGAGCACTGGCCCAATGGAAGGGAGGAAGGCTCCCAAGGAGATGGAGTGACACAGGGGCTGCGACACTGATCTCTAATGCACCACCGGTGAGGAGGGGGCAGGACCACACAGCGTTTCACTCTGTGGTTCTGTTCTGCCGTAAACAGCCTTGCTATGAGTCGGAGCCATTCAACTACACCTAACAACGACAACCACGCAAACTGACAGGCTGCTTGGAGGGGACCCCGTCACAACCTTCCAGGTGCTGTCCCTGTTCTGCAGGTGGGGAGACTGAAGCCAGAGGTGCCCCGACCCCCCCAAATGGATGGAGTGAGTCCTGGGTTGAATGTGCAGGCTCTGAAGGCAGGGCAGGGGCAGGTCCATGCAGTGTAATCTGCTGGAGCTGTCTCAGGTCCTCTGTGCCTTAGGTAGTGGAGGCACTTAGCCAGCCAGGGAGGGCGGTAACCCAGGCCTGGGCTCTCTAATTCTGCCCTTCGAGTAGCCTGCCCTCTACCTCTACAGAGAGTCTCTTCTAGCCACGTCAATTACTGACCAAGCATTACACCATGGTGAGGGGATGAAGGAGACAGAGGTGGCGTGTGTGTGTGTGTGTGTGTGTGTGTGGTGGGGTGGGGGTGGGGGGAATCACAGGGGAAGCATTTCATTAAGCTCCTTTCTCTGCCTCTGTGAGATACTCCTTTCTGCTCAACTCCCTGCTGACTCCACACTTCCCTCACCAAAGGCCCCCATTCACACCCTCCCAGGCTCAGGCAGGTTGAGAAGATGAACACCCCTGGGGACGGCCCCTTCTCAGGGGACTGCATTTCACTGGAGGTATCTCAGGCCTCAACCCTGTTGTGCACGGGGGTCTGGAGGGAGGCACATCAGCATCCCCCAGGCCGCGGGTCATTCCAGAAGTAAAATAAAGCTGTGTGACTTATGTTCTGATTGCGTCAATGGGCAGCAGGGGAGCAATGCCCAAATGCAATTTAAAACACAGCCAGAGGGACCTGGCAGGTAAACAACTAGGTCAATGTCATAAAGCCTCAACCAGACTCCTGGAATTCCGGTTCCCTGTTCTTCTGTGTGAGCACCCTGCATCAAGATGAGCCAGTGCTCAGAACAATTAGCAACCCGTCCAAGTTCACACACAGACGTTACTGGTAAAGCCAGCACTAGGCAGAATACTACAGAGCAAGGGACTGACCAGGGGACAGGGGAGCTGGATTTGAGTCCTGCTCCACTACCACGCTCTGGATCCATGACAGCAGCAACCGCGGACAAGCAATTTCAGTGTCCTCTGCTTGGAAGGCCCTGCAAATGCAATGAGCCTCTATCTGCACCCTCACCCTGCCACACCCATGGGTCTTTCAGAGGAAAGCACTCTGCAAACGTGGGCTTTTCCCCCTCAGTGTCCCTGCCTACATTCAGGAGGAGGCCCAGGGAGAGCGACTGGGGTTTGCCACGTACTTACCCATCCAGACTTCACCAAACTGCCCAGACCCGAGTTTCCGGACCAGTTTGAGAGACTGCCGGGGAATTTCCCACTCGTCCTGGGCCCAGGGGTCCTGAGGAGCCAGGCTGACACACGGCAGGGTCAGCCTCTGGCACAAGCCATCTCCCTTCTCTGCATTGGGGAAGAAAGAGATGGGGCTGGGGGTTAGTTACAGGGCAGCCACGGGCCACACCTCACCCACTGGCAGCTCCCCCAACCCCACCCTACCAACACACACACACACACACACACACACACACACACACACACACACACACTGCAGCATACAGGGTCCATGACGCTTAGATTTAAAATGTCATGGTTTCCATGGCTGCAGGCTGAGCTGGTCCAGGGGGTCAGGGCCATGGTTGCTGAATCACTATGACGAGAGTTGGGCCTCTCAGGTCCAGTCCTGGATGACTCCCCTCTCCTCAGGTGATGCACACGATTCACACAATCTCGGGGTCTTAGGGAAAGAGAGACACAAGGCCTCCCTGATGCATGCCCCACCCGCACCCCCTTGAGGTCCCGCTCTTACTAGAATAGTGCTGCACCAGGTCTTGGAGCGAGGGAAAGGTAATCCTGGGGGAGATGTAATAGCCTCCTTGATCCAGTGCGCGGATTTTATAGTGCTTGATCACCTCCCCCCGAGGGGTTACATCCTTCATAGACAGGGCGAAAGAACCTAGCGGGTTAAGAAATCAGACCTATAACTAAGTCATCTTCAAGGTGATTTAACTGTGTGTGTGTGTGAGTAAATGCTCTAAAGTTGATGAGGGGTGATTGTGTAATTCTCCTCGATAGGAGTGTATGATTGGACTGTTGAATTTATATGATATGTAAATTCCTTGGCAATAAAACTGTTGAGGAATAAAAAGGAAAGAAAAAGAAATCAGATGCACAACAGAAGCAAGGCGCCCGGGAAGGAGAGATGAGGCTTTCTTCTCTGAAACCCACGGGGGCAGCATGGCGCTGTCCTGTAGGCCACGAGGTGGAGGGATCCACTCGAAGGGAGCCAGTCTTGGTTTGCTTTGTTCTTTACATAGGACTGAGTGGGACACTTCACTGAAAAAGAAGTTCCTTGAATCCTGCTCCCCATTTTGGCCAACTGCCAAAAGTTCCCCTCTGGGACCTCAGCCCTCCAGGTAGTCTTCCCTGCCTGAGCCACCTAACTCTGCTCTTGACATTCTTCCCCAAGCCTCCACAGCCCAGAGAGGGAGTCAGAGAACTCTGTTGCAGGCAGGACAGTCTCACAGCAACCACCCCTCCCGTCCCCCACTGGGGCACCCAGTCCCTCGGAGCCCCTTTGCCAAGAACTACGGAGAGAGGTAGGACCATTGTAGGGCCTAGGATCTTTACTTGTTTATTTGTTTTCCCCAGTGGCACACTACTCTCTCATACAAAGCACATCACCTCAGGCACCCATGTCCCTGGAAGAATGTGTATTGCATTGCTTTCCACCACGTCTGCTCATAGTCACTTGCTGCTGGCCCATTGACTTTGTTATCTGGGCAGATGTTGGCCTGAAGACCAGTGGTAGCTGAAGCTCAGAAGGATGAGGTTGGTCACCAAGATCACTCTGCTAGTTAGCATCCGTTTGAGAGAGCGGAGGACTAGATTCCCATGCCCAGTACTACCACACTTGCCCACCAGGGGCCAGTCAAGGACATCTCTTTTTCTGGGGTGTGTCTGCTCTGTTTGTCCAATCGGTTTGAAGGCATCTTTCGTCTGGTCAAAACTATCATCTCTGTTCCAAGCCCACGTCCTCTCCTGTTTCTCCTGGTCCATGTGAGAGGCTGTTTGCTGAGCCAGTGAATCTTGCTTCAACCACAGTCCACCCACATGCCCTGCCCCACGCGGGATATGGCAGACTCCTCCCACCCCGATACTTCTACCCCAGGTCCAGGCAGCGGTGTCCTCCTGCCGCCAGGGAACAAAGGAGCCTGGCTGTCCTGCTGTCATAAGAAAGCCTTTGCTCCCACAGCCTGTTACTTGTTTTCTTCTTGTCTTTTAAAGGATTGTTAGCTTTCTGAGACGCATGGAAGTCAAGGTGAAGGGCCTGCCAGAGAGGCCACGCGGGGCTAGAGGTTGCTTTCCCTGCATCCGCAGCACCACTACTTCCCTCAGGGCGGTTCTTCCTGGGCCCTCTCATATCCACTGCCTGTGCTCGGAGCTGCCCACCGAGAGCTCTTGTTCTGGAGGTCTGGGTGGTGTGTGTGTGTGTGTGTGTGTAGAGTGATCAGGCTTGGACAGCCTGGACCCTCTCATATCCACTCCCTGTGGCTCTGAGCTGCCCACCGAGAGGTCTTGTTCTGGAGGTCTGGGTGGTGTGTGTGTGTGTGTGTGTGTGTGTGTGTGTGTGTACAGTGATCA